ACGTGTGGGTGGGCAATTATGTCAAGATTGCAGCGATTCATTATATAAAATTCTTAATTGTAATCTATGCCGTTAAATACAGATGATCATTGATTATATCCAGAGCATGCCGATCTGGCTTCCAACATCCGGTGAAACCGGTAAAACCGCTCCAAAGGCTGTACCAGTCCGGCGATCGGCACCATGTGCGTGACAAAACAAGTAGCTATGCTTTATTTCCGTGTCAAATAATATATACCGTACATTAAACACTACATACAACAACTTAAATAATTAAAATAATGCACATATATAAATGTTTCATGACTAACAACTACAATCATAGAAACAGAAAATATAAAGTGCGATCTGGCGAAAATTGAGTGCAATTCGGCATTCACCAGAGCACCGGTATGAAGGCTGAATCAGTCCAACGATTGACAAACAAAAGTTATTGTCAAACACAAGTTGTTGTCAAACACAAGTTGTTTAACAAGAGTGTAGTATGCACATCACCCCATGCAGAGTCTTCGATATTGGAGTGGTGAGTGCGGTACAGTAAATAGTCACTTTTTACAGCAGGATATTCATTTTGTCTTTGTATATTTATTGAAGCGATTTTTACATCGCAAACTATTTAATGACACTAAATATATACAGAACACCTAAAAATATAATCTTATTCAAGAATATGCAAAAATCCATTTTTAATGTGATTATCTGGTGTTTTTTTAAAAACCGGCTGCCAGATAATCGATGATCTCCTGTCTTAACATAATATTGTATTAACATAATATTAACATAATTTGAAACAATATCATTGGTTAGAGTAGGTAATGTGACAATTGTAATTGTATTGTTATTTAATAGTGGTTAAAAGTGCTATAATAAGTGTGGTTAATAACTTAATTGACGAGTGCATAAAAACAGCAAGTTATAATAGACGTTAAAATAAAACATTATTATGCTGTACTGAGTATCTTTGTGTTTTGTGTCTATATGTGTGTATATATTTGTTTAGGTGTACTTATATATAAGTGTGGGTGCATCAGGACACTACTCACTCTAACGTCTCCAAACTCCCTTCTCTCCCCAACATCCCGTCCGCCAAAAGTCGGAGACCGCTGTCTCTGATCTTGTTGCCACTCAGCCTAAACCCGGGTGGACGGGAGAAGGGGCAGCGCTGACTTAATGAGCCCATGGTAACCGCGGAGTCAAACACGCGGTGAGTGAGGGACACTCACAATGGCGGTGCACGTGACCAGAGCACACACGTTCATGAGCAAAGATGCTCATTGTTTCATGCTTCTGCGTTAAACATTTTATATATAATAGGTGGCATTCACAAACATCAGTTTACTCACGATCATCCATTCAATTATACTGCACTGTACCTTTTAATATGAAAAGTGTTTGTGTTTATAGAAACACAAAGTTACAGCAGAGGATCACACAAGTACATTTTCATCGAGGAACACAGGGAGATGTTTACAATTAATTAATGTATCTGCTAACAGTATGAATATTATATGCTTAGTTCTTTCGGTAAAGTCACGTTGAAGGGAAACAATAAAATAATACAATATATAAAACAATAAATATATTTTATTATTTTATTATTATGTTTCCCTTCAACGTGACTTTACTGAAAGAACTAAGAATATGAATTACTGCAGTCACGAAAGCTTTAAATAAAAAAGTATGAATATTGCTTTAGCCTATGTGTTAAATTAAACAAATGTGTTAAGATTACAGTAAAACATTTTGCAAGTGGACTTGATTAAGCAGGACAGCAAGATAAAATGTGTTCACATTTAAATGTTTACTTCACGACGCGTTGCACCAATAATCGGCACAGTTTGTGAACAGAGCACATGTGAGAAACGAACAGCAAAGCTTACTCGAGAATCTTCAATCCTGTGTTGGCCTTGAGGATGACACTGAGAGAGGAACCCGACTTGTCCGTCAGTGAACACTGATACAGACTGCAGGAAGAGAAGAGGTGGCTAGTCGGGGCAGAGGGGATGGGTGGAAGGTCTGGGTACAGAGTGGGGGATGGTGAGGGGTGGTGGTGGTGGTTGATGGGACAGTGGTTGAGGGTCGTGTTTGTGGAGGCTGTGCACAAATTCACCTCATGTCAAGTTTAATAGGAGCTTGCAAATAGCAACTGCTGTTTAGGTTTTTGGGTTTAACGTGATGTGTGTGAATGTCTACTATGTGTATATTTGCATTAGTCCATATCTACGCATGTTGGTACTTGTGTATCATAGTGCATGCATATTTGTGTTGTATGCACATGGGAAGTAGTGGTGCAGTGGTTAGCACAGTGAGCCACAAACCTGGTTCGATTGCCGCTCATGGCTAACTTCATTGATGAATATCTAAAACGGCCGTGGACCTCACCTAGGTCGACTCAGCCTTAAATTACTACCTGGTGTAGTAAGTAAACATCAGTTGGCTGAGTGTGGTGCTGGCCTCCCAACCCCTCATGTGCCGTTCTGGCCTTAATTAGGTGTTCCCGAACAGGTTATGACCGAAAAGTCTGCTAAAGGCTCTCTGTAGAATCTCTGTGTATGTATATATAGATCAAATACTCATGATTTACTTTCGATATTGCATCATCCTATAAGCGGTTACATCTAAAAACGTTTAATTGATCATCTCATCACAATGTAATTGAAAGGACACCCCCAGTGGCAACGGTCTGAGCACAAGGTAACTTAGCACATGGCCTGCATATCGGCATTTCCACTACAACACTTCCCATATCCTCTCATTCCTAATTTCCTCAGAAGATCCTCCCATTTCCACGTCAAATAATATATACAGTACATTATACACTACATACAACTTAAACAATGAAAATATTGCACTTATATACATTTTTCATGACTAATAACTAGTCACAGAAACAGAAAATATACAGCGCGATCCGCCGAAAATTGCGTGCAATTCGGCATTCGCCAGAGCACCGATCTGAATCAGTCTGACGATTGTCAAACACAAGTTGTTGTTGTCAAACACAAGTTGTTGTTGTCAAACACAAGTTGTTCTCAAACACAAGTTGTCAAACACAAGTTGTTGTCAAACACAGGTTGTTGAACAATATCTTAGTACGCACATCACCCCATGCAGAGTCTCCGATATTGGAGTGGTGAGTGCGGTACAGTAAATAGTAACTTTTTACAGCAGAATATTAATTTTGTCTTTGTATATTTAGTTAAGCGATTTTTTTTTCGCAAACTATTTAATAACACTAAATATACAGAGCACCTAAAAATATAATCTTATTTAAGAATATGCAAAAATAATCCATTTTAAATAATTATGCGGTTATCTGGTGTTTTTGAAATTCCGACTACCGGATAATCGACGATCTACTGTATTACCATAATATAATTTGAAACAATATCATTGGTTAGAGTAGGTAATGTGATAATTGTAATTGTATTGTTAATAGTGGTTAAAAGTGCTGTAATAAGTGTGGCTAATAACTTATTTGACGAGTGCATAAAAACAAAGTTATAATAGACGTTAAAATACAACATTATTATGTTATACTGAGTATCTTTGTGTTTTGTGTCTGTATGTGTGTGTATATTTGTTTAGGTGTGCTTATATTAGTGTGTGTGCATCAGGACATTACTCACACTAACGTCTCCAAACTCCCTTCTCTCCCCAACATCCCGTCCGCTAAAAGTCGGAGGCCGCTGTCTCTGATCTCGTTCTCACTCAGCCTAAACCCGGGTGGACGGGAGAAGGGACAGCGCTGACTCACTGAGCCCACGGGAACCGCGGAGTCAAACACGCGGTGAGTGAGGGACACTCACAATGGCGGTGCACGTGACCAGAGCACACACGTTCATGAGCAAAGCTGCTCATTGTTTCATGTATAACACAGAAGCATATGATATTTGTGGCATTCACAAATATTTTACTTTTCGATTTAAAGCTTTCGTGACTGCAATGATTCATCTTCTTTGGTTCTTTCGGTAAAGTCACGTAGAATGAGAATAAAATAATAAATTGATAAAATAAAATAACACAATATTTTTTATTGTGTTATTTTTATTGTGTTATTTTATTTTATCAATTCATTATTTTATTCTCATTCTACGTGACTTTACCGAAAGAACCAAAGAAGAAGAGAAATATTTTACTCACAACCATCCATTCATTTATACTGCACTGTACCTTTATAATCTGAAACGTGTTTGTGTTTACAAGGGTCTTGTTTTGCAAGACCTCCTCTACAAAAAAAAACAAAGATCCCCCGTGTAGCCTTAACAGACTGTAGGGGCAAGTGCTGTTAGCGAGCACCTACTGTATGAAGGCCAGAACGGCACACGAGGGGGTGGGTGGCTAGCACCACGCCCGACCGCCTTTGTCTCCCCAGTGATGATGTTTACACACCGCACCAGGTACTCATTTGAGGCCGAGTCGACCTAGAGGGAGGCCTAGGTCCGGTTCAGATAATTGGCACCGGTGTTGGCCGTGAGCGGGAATCGAACCCGGGATGCCGGGTTCATAGCCCAGCGTCGCGCTAATCACGACACTACCGCTCCTCGTCTACACACCTACATACACACACACAGGAACTAAAGTAAATAACTCATGAAATAAACTTGAAATTAAAACCAGCAATAGAAACATGGGAATATATAGTTCTCAGCATAGAAAACAAGCAATTACGTAATGCTACAAAAGGAAAATAATTACGTAATGATATAAAAAAAATACCTTAATTCTGTGAAGCTCGGGCTCGGTGAAGGCGTTTTGGTTTAGGCGGGGCTTAAGCCTCGCTCCGCAGGAGACGACCGCAACCTCAACGCGCTGCACTAGTTGTACTTATGTAATTAACGCTACCATTTCCACACGTTGAATTTTATTACACGATTCATGGGAGCATTTCTGTAAATTCGGATTTCCGTAAATCTGGGACTGCCTGCACATACATGCGTATATTAACTAATTTGTCCATGGTGCACTCAGATCACTGGACGAATTGCGCTTCATGAATGTGAATCCTTATTATATGAAGATTGCTTGCATTCATTTTAATGTAAAAAATACTGTCGCATTAAAACTGCAGACTCAAACAGGGGTGTGTAAAAGTGTGTGTGAGTGTGTAGTAACGTGCACGTATTCGTGTATATGCATATTAGTGTATATGTACATGTGAGTGAGTGTGTGTATATTCATATATGAGTGTGTACATTAGTGTACATGTAAGATCTAATAAATCTGAAAATCTAAATAGGCACGAGCCTGGATGGTGCTTCTACCCATGACTAACATGCATTACAACAGGTGTTGTAGCCTGCGGAGCTGCGTTATGGCAATGGAACAACATTCATCTCTATGCTCTACACCAACCCACACTGACAAGATTGGTGATGTATGGTCAAATAACCCCCAAGACCTGCATGGTGTGGGAGTGCCTTATCCAGCAGTGGAGTGACCAAAGGCTGCATGCACTGTGTACGTTTGTGTGTGTACATGTCTGTGTGTATATACGAGTGTCTTTGATTGTGTTTAGGGGAATGGTGGGAAAGTTGTTGGCACATTACATTACGAACTAAGTGACCTGGGTTTAATATCTGTAAACAGCATCAGTGGTGAGTGATAAAAGAAAATCTAGGGTGACTCAGCCTTAAATGAGTACCTGGTATGTTGTGTAAACATCAGCAATGGGGAGAAAAAGACAGCCAAGGACGGTGCTGGTCAGGGAAGTGCGATCAGCACTTGCCTCAAAAGTGTGTGCAGGCTCCACGGGGAGATTGTCTTTGTGCTCTAAAGTGCAGTGTAATAGTGTGTGCTTGTTCCCTGTCACTGGCTTCACTTTCCCCACCAGTTTATATGGGCTACTTGGGGGATCTTTGTCTCTTTAATACGTTACAACTAAGATTAACACCCATTACCAATCAGCTGTCTCTGTAGTGGTGAGCACAATCACTGACCATGATCCACTGTGAACTAGGGGCTTGAATCGGACACGTGGATCAAACCGTTACCCTCACTCTCCACCGCAGAGTCGCTATCAGGGCTACATTTTCTCAGTGTGGCCTACGGTCACCTCACTTCCTGCACATAGTGTGAGGGCTATCATTATCGCGAATTAAATGTTGCTTAAGATGATGGAAAACTTTACAGCATCCATGCATATGCATAACTTTTTTTCCTTTTGTACTTTAATGTACAGTGAGTGCAGCATTCACTGTGGACCCACCTACTCACTGTACATTTACTCACCCACTCACACTAATTCACTCATTCACCAACCCACTCACACACTAATTCACTCATTCACCAACCCACTCACACACCACTGACCCACCAACTCGCTCACATCCTCACTTAACTCCACATATTCACTCATCGATCCACCCACCAAGTCACCCACCAACTCAAGCAGGCACGCACTCACTCACCGAACCTTATCCCTCAGTGGATGAGTGGGAGTGGGTATGCAGCTGAAGAGTGAAGGTATGGGCAAGGGTGGGGGATGAGTTATGGAAAAAGTGAAGGCAGGAGCAGATTGGGGGGTTAATGGTAGGTATCAGGGGAGGGGTGAGCGTGGCGTGCGGGGAGAGGAGTGAAGTGAGTGAGGACAATGATGGCAGTGGCAAGGGGAAGAATTTGTCAAAATTTGTGTTCATGCTTGGGCTACGCAAGACCGAGTGTTTACGTGAGAATGGAGTTACATTGTACTGTGTGCACAGTTACTAAGTGAGGATTCTTATAGACAAAGATCTGCTGTATAGCTTTAACAGACTGCTGGGGAAAGTGCTGTTAGGGAGCACCTATGAAGGCCGGCATGGCATATGATGGAGTGGGTGGCCAGTATCACGCCCCGGCTGCTTTTGTCTCCCGAGTAGCGATGCTTTACACACCGCACCTGGTACTCAATTGAAACTAAGTTGATATCACACACACACACATGCACACACAATTTGTGAAGTAGAGAAGGCGAGGTGTGCAAGTC